ACGTCACAGGAGCAAAAAGGAAGTCAAAATTGCGGCACTACATATAACTGAAATTTTTCTCGAATAATTTTCAAGGTATCCCAGCTAGGAACAAACTAATAGCACCATCGTGATCCTCTCGTCGATCGCATCGAAACATGTGTATGTTGACCTCGAAAATCGAAAGGTCAAAAGTTGACCTTAGGTCACGTGACCTAAGGTGTCCCTGTCAACTCCCCCTCCCCGGTCTACCAGTGGACTGGAGGAGAGGCAACACTGTATGTATTGTATGTATTGTATGTATGTATTTACCGGTGTACGGCCTACCAGTGTACTGGAGAGGCAACACTGCAGTGGTGACACGTGTCTGTTTTTTCCAAGCAATCGAGTTTGTTGTTTTTTAGTTGGGGCTTGAGGGTGCGCCGACTACTCCAAGCAATCGAGGGCCGTTGCAGCCTACGCAGAACGTTCCAGAACTCATCTTCAGAGACAAGCGGAGAACACCACTACTCAGAACAGCGACCCCTGCGTTATCCCAACGGCATGTAGACCAACAGAGACGGTTACCCCTCCTCCCAACCCCTCCCCTCTGGTGGACCACGCCCGTGCCGTTAGGACGGGGTGAGGGGAGGGGGAGTCACAGAATGGCCCACAAAGACTGCGGATGACGGGTCAATCAATGGACGCACACGGCAGAGTGAGCCTCCTTGGACGGGGAGACAGAGAGGAGATGGGGAGAGAGAGAGAGAGAGAGAGAGAGAGAGAGAGAGAGAGAGAGAGAGAGAGAGAGAGAGAGAGAGAGAGAGAGAGAGACAGAGAGAGAGAGAGAGAGAGAGAGAGAGAGAGAGAGAGAGAGAGAGAGAGAGAGAGAGAGAGAGAGAGAGAGAGAGAGAGAGAGAGAGAGAGAGAGAGAGAGAGAGAGAGAGAGAGAGTGATGGGTCGGGGCACATTAAATGGACAAGGACAGAACAGTGAGTGATTTAGAGAACACAGATGCTGGATGGATAGACAGTTAACGATGAACGGTGGCAAGGACAACACAAATAGACAATTGATACCAACACAGATAGGGTGAAGAGGAATAGTGCACAGAACAAGACGAAGATAAATATTAGCATGGAATCACAACCACCTTATGCAAGTAAGAACAAAATAGAGCTAGAGTATAAAGCAGTGTAACATTATTGGAATGTCTTATTGAGTCCACTTGTTTTCCTTACCAGCCAGTATGTGTAACACAAGGCGAGTTAGTCTCGTATCGCACACATAGCTGCGACTCTAAAACGCATATCAGTGAGTCGATACTGTGCTAGCTGACAAATAAAGCAGGACATCTCCAAGGGCACAGTTTGTGCACGCGACTCAGTGGTTACCACGTACTTACGAGTACAAGGCACATCATTTCCAAAGGTCACCATCATTCTTTGAGTAGTGTGACCGGACGTAACTACATACATAGCCATTCCTTCAGCCAGTGACACAGGCATCCAACGATCAAACCCATTCCTTGAGCAATGTGGCCGACTCTGCCACGATAAACAAGCAAATATGTATAATAATGTCTGCATCTACCAGCCGGAGCCGTGCTATTTTAGTCCGCTCGAGTAAAAGCCGGATTATACAGGGGCAGAGCTGGGTTCAAATGTACCCCAGATCCATTGAAGATTAGTTCGGCACACTTTTAAATAGACTGTATGATGGTGAATGAATAAAAAATAGTATTTCAACGAAAGTTGTTCATTCAAAAGCAGTCAACAGAGGCAGAGAAGAAATATTCAAATTTGCAGTTTTAGAAAGTTCATCAGAACTTTAGGAAGCGGAATCCGGCTCCCTGCCTTGGGACGTTCTAAACCGAAAGGCGCGAGATATTTGCAGTGTTATGTGGTATAAACGCATAGAGGGCGGCCTTTGAATATTTGTCAATGAGCATACGCGTTTCATGCGTAACCGCCTCGAACAAGTTGTCTTGAATGAGTTAAAGCTGGGTGGACTCACCCATATTTGACATACAAGCATTCATTAGCATCAACGCAGCCTTAAGAAAAAGTGTGAGGAGATCCGGTTCTTGATTCTATTACCGAATGAAGGCAGGTCTGTAAAGGAATTCAACATGGATTGCTTACTTTCATAAGCTACAGCGAGTACTATTGTTCTCAAAATAAGGGCCAAGGCGACCTGTAGTTATGATGCGGTGAATACCCTTACCCTCGCCATAGCTCGGGCCGAGTGTACCCCTCACCCCTACCCAACCTTACCCCCACTCGAGTTGCGGCGAGGGCAAAAGTATTCGCCGTACCCGAACTACAGGTCGCCAGAGCCCTTACCTTGAGACCAATAGTACATTTACCACGACAAATCAGCCTCGCGCTAGGACGGGATCCCTCTCTCTGCATTGGGGAAAGCCTCGCCCCCGACAGCTAAATATAGCTGCAGGCGTGTCAATAAATGATGAGCACCGGCCCGAGCCGTCACAGGCACTCGGGACACCACCTCGTAACTGAAGATCAATGGGTGTCCGGCAGAACCGAGAACTACATTTTATTCCAACATATTTCCACAGATGCCCCTAAGCATTTTCCACAACGGTCTGTCCACGGTTTTACGGCAATTTTAGGAAGTTGGGTCTGAATCGTTGACAGCTAAGTTCTGGGCGATTAAATTCGCAAACGACAGTACCAAATGTTTTCTGTTCATGATGGTCTGTCATGAAACTTTCCAATGTAACCGCCTTCCAAATGAAATGAGACTTAATGTTCTGGAAACCGCCGCACGCCGCACATTATTCCTGGTACCCTGTCTGTCCATAGTATCTTGTTCAACTTACACCAAAGGTCGCCAACCTCTTCACGCGCCTCTTGCTCGCCCCAACTATCCACATAGAAGCGTGGCGGGCTTCGTGTGATTGAGTGTCTGTCCGTGTCCGCCTGTCTGAGCGTCCCCCTTGTGGTTGCTTCGTCCCTGCGTCCCCCTTGCGTCCCCCTTGTGGACACCATCCGTGAGTATTTTGTAGGTCTTCTCTGGCGCTAACTCCTTCATGAATGACTGGCGCCGACCTCCCAAGCAACATTTTCCTTTTCAAAACAACCCCATTCCTGAACAAACGGGAAGTGCCAGGGGAAATTTTTCGCAGCATATCGTAGAAGAATGTGTCGGCCATCTGTTTCTTAGACACATTGTGCAAATTTTGCAAATCCCAAACGCTCGTCATTCCCCATGCCAAGACCTTCGCTGGGTTGCGGAGTGTTTTCCTCAGGAGAGGTTCTGCTTTGTAAACGGCCAAAACCTGTCCATCGTGTGGTTTTGTCGGGATTTTGTGTCTAAAAGAAAGCTATTCGCTCCAGATCTGCCTCTTGAAACTTCGTAAGATAAAACTTTACATTAATTGATACTTTTGGAGGGTCAGTTGTCCTTGGTATTGATGATTTTTGTGTTATTTTCCCCAAAAAATTGGCGTTCTAGATATTATAAACAATTTCAAATGATACTTTGTCTTTATTTTACGATGACCTGCAATTTTTGAAACTGGGTAACCTCTGTCTGTGAGCTTCTTGTCAGTTTTCAATAGTTATGCCTTCATTTTCAGCTGCTTTCCGGAGCACGAGTCTGCTGCCGTACGAGGGTCGTTCAAAACGCTGTTAGTCTCGCATGGTTTTGTCCTTCAAAAATTTTAGCCACCGTTTTTATTAGATGATCATCATGTTGAACTCATCCTCGCCGACACTTTGCCATGTGTCATTTCCGACTAAACCATTCCCATTACTCCTGAAACAGCGAGTTTCTCAGCCGACCCGATTTTGCGACCTCCATTTTCATGCTTGACCCATGGTCAGAGATGAACCCTTTTTGTGGGCTCATGAAGGGTCGAATGCGTTTGAAAACAATGAGACTGCTTGAGGAAGGTTGTTACCAATGCCCATGCAAAATTTCGACTGTTTATTTATTGTTGATTCAGAATTATTGACAAAAAAGCATGGCTGGTATCTGTCAACGAACTTTTGAGACACCCTGTACCTGTCTGTTGACTGTCTGTCCGCCTGTCTCTCCTTCCCTCCCTCCCCGCCTGTCACCGTAACCCTACCACAGCGTTCTCTCACGCGACCGATCTCGCCGCCGGTACTCGTGTTAATTTCCCAGAGGAGCCCCATCGAGGCGAGGTGCTGAAGGGGTGCACAGTTACACAGACCCACGCCCCGCGGGGAGCACACAGTCCCAGTATCGCCGCCGCAGACTCGACGCTAAATGTAATCATCAGCTGGCGGTGGTAGGACGAATGGGTCTGATACAGCGGTCTCAGCCGTCAGATCTAATTAGGAAATATAATGAGAGGATGAGACGGCCGCTTTGCGGTCATGTCAGGGCATTTATATACCTAGGTGATGAAAAGTCCGCGGTAACTGAGAATCACTGATGCTGGTGCTAGTTGATGAACAATTTGAGCTCAATGATCAGCGTCTAAGTAAAATTGTTATTGGTGATTCAAGATTCCGATATTATTATCATACTATACGGGAAAAGATATGGTGTGAAGAAGATGAAAATTCAGCTTATATTTGTCCAACATTAATTGGCTCCTATATTCCACATCATAAGGTTTTTACTGCCTCGGGAACATCTGCGGCGTTTATATTCCACATCATAGGGGTTTACTGCCTCGGGGCACATCTGCCTCCACTCACATAGTTAATCCCTTACATTCACCACTAATTTACCGGTCTTTGGCCGACAGGTAAGCTTTTTGATTCATCGAAACGTTGCTTTGGGGGAGGGGGGCGGAGTGTTCAGCTATAAAGCAGAAGAAGTTTACCCTGCAAACCACACAGCAGGAGAGTAGTAGGGTGGTAACTTCACAGGCGTAGTATAATGGAGACAGTAGAATCCCCTACTCACCAGACAATGCCCTGACTAGGTAGTAGAGTGCCCTACTCACCAGACGATGCCCTGGGCGCCGGAGCCGATCGGTTTGAGGACCTGGAGACGCGCGTCGCCTATCAGATAGGTAGTAGAATGCCCTACTCACCAGACGATGCCCTGGGCGCCGGAGCCGATGGGTTTGAGGTTCTGGTAGCGTTTGAGGATCTGGAAGCGCGTGTCTCCCACCTCGACGGTGTAGAGCTGCGAGTTCCGCGAGCCGGCCGCACTCTGAGCCATCCGGCCGTTATTGCGGGGACTCAGCAGAGGCATCGTGACGTCACCCGAACTGCAGAACACAGAACGTCATTGGTCAGTGGGGTGTGGTGACGTCACCCGAGCTGTCAAAAAGGCACGTCATTAGATAGTGGGGAAATCGTGACGTCACCCGAACTGCAGAACAAGGCAAGTCATTGGTCAGTAGGGTAAAGTGACGTCATTGGTGCTGCAAAACATCGAAACCTTGATCAGTGGGACATGTGACATCCGTGGACAGTGGCTGTCACGTGAGGTGTTCGTGAAATAACGGTAAAACTGTTGTATTAATTCATTTACTTTCTCCTCTCAACATTCTTCTCAAATTGAAAATGATCTTTTCCTTATGTCAATTGCGGCGTATTACATTTTGACCCAAGGGATCCGTCAAACAAAATTGGCGTACATTCGCCGGAAATTGGTTCTGGATTATGACATACGAAAATAACACGCGATTATTACCATATTCAAGTCAGCTGTATAGTGTCCGATTCGGACCAATCTAACGTCGCATTTCACGCAAGTGCACGACATATAACAACCCAATTACGGGGCAATTATGAAGAACAGCCTCACTACTTACCAACCTTGTAACGCAACCAGCGGATGGAAGATAAGCCAAAGTGCTATAGCTTTGATAACATGTCATTAGCTAGTACGTGATAATCATGTAAGAGCTTACGAAAATAACCATCCTTATTATTGTCAGGGAAGCGAGATGTTGTTTCCAGTTATCGCTGTTATAAAAAAGAGCGTACCTCATTAGCACGAAACATGACGTCAACGCTATAAAAACCACACACGTCACGGGCCAGCGTAATAAACTAATATTCCGCCGAGACTCCGAGCCGCGGTAACACCAGGAGAGCAGCCGTCATGGGCAGACGACCCCGACACCAGGAGAGGAACCGCCCCGGGCAGACGACCCCGACACCAGGACACCAGGAGAACAGCCGTCCCGGACAGACGACCCCGACACCAGCAGAGGAACCGCCCCGGGCAGACGGGCCCGACATCAGCCGTCCCGGACAGACGACCGGCGGCATCAGGAGAGTAGCCGCCCCGGGCACACGGCCCCGACACCAGGACACCAGGAGAGCAGCCGTCCAGGGCCGTCCTCGACACAAGGAGAGTAATTCGTATATGATGTAAGATAAAAACACCAAAACCACCCAACGTTTCGTGTTATTCACTTTTTCAAGGGCGATATGTCACCCTTGAAGGGTGATATATGATATATCTGTCATATATCACCCTTGAAGGGTGATATATGACAGATATATCACCCTTGAAAAAGTGAATAACACGAAACGTTGGGTGGTTTTGGTGTTTTTATCTTACATCATATACGAATTAATTTGTCCAATTCAAATAATCAACAAGGAGAGTAACCGTTCCGGGCAGACCGCCGGCGACATCAGGACACCAGGAGAGCAGCCGTCCTGGGCAGACGACCCCGACACCAGGAGAGGAGCCGTCTCGGGCAGACGAGCCCGACATCAGGACACCAGGGGAGTAGCCGTCCCAGGCAGACGGGCCCGACATCAGCCGTCCTGGACAGACGACCGGCGGCATCAGGAGAACAGCCGTCCTGGGCAGACGGTCCCGACATCAGGATTCAGGACACCTGGAGAGCAGCCGTCTTGGGCAGACGGCGGGCCCACACCAGGACACCATGAGAGCTGCCGTCCCGGGCAGACGGCCACGGTAACACCAGGAGAGCAGCCGTCCAGGGCAGACGACCGCCGCTAACCGGTGACGGCTATTTTCGTTGCCCGCCGCCGCGGCGGGCAACGACCGCTCTGTGCTGATTCCTTCCGCCGGCGCGCCGGCGGAAGGAATCAGCACAGAGCGGTCACAGAGGTCGGCCGAGCGGTGCCATTTCGGGAAACGCCACCGTCAGGCGCCCGCCGCTATAACCAATGGCGGACAGAGCTGAGAGCCAGATATAATTATAGTAACCTATCCCCACTGATCGGCTCAGAATGGAAGGTCAGCCGCCAATCTCGGACCCCGCAAATGGTCGGACGGATAAATCGGGCAGCCCCGCCATCAATGATATGCCCAAATTCTCAGCCGCAATGCCTGGACCATTTCACAGTCCATCAGTAGTCCACGTACCGTAACCCTGATCATAACCTCTCAAAGGTCAACCGTGCCAGGCTGGCCCAGAGTCTTCATAACCCTTCATAACACGCCAGGAGTCGACCGTCAACGGCGGCAAAGTCGGCCCACAATGGATTCCGCTGAAAAACGGGCCGCCCTGAGCCGTATGGAGCGTGGCCGGCACGCGGGACAATGGAGGGGCTCAGCGGCCGGTCAGGGGGTGGGTGGTGGCCGGTGGATGAAAGGTGGCTGGGTGCAACGATAAAAGAGGGTGAGAGGGAGAGCAGAGAGGAGGAAGAGAGAGGAAAGAGGAGAGGTGGAGGAAGTGAGAAAGAAAAAACGACAGAACGAGAGAGAGAGAGAGAGAGAGAGAGAGAGAGAGAGAGAGAGAAAGAGAGAAAGAGGAGAGGAAGAGATAGGGGAAAGAGGCAGAGTCGTACGCATACGTCAATGAAAAAGCAAATGAACCGATACACATATTGACAGAAAAACAAAAGGCAGAAAACAACCAGACCGAGTGACAAACACAAACAGACAGTAATAATGTACAAAGACAGATATGAGAAACAAAAGTTGTATGCAAACACACGAGGACTGAAAGGCATAGGCGGAAACACAAAGACATACAGACTTTTTTCAGGAGTGATGAGATGATTAGTTTCGGTAGATAAGCCAGGATAAATGGCTGTACCGACACCAACCAGCCGCGCCGAAATAGGGCAGCAGACGCATAAGGAATAAAACAATGAAATAAGAATAAACGAGAGCACTGAATTGACAGGAAATTAGGGGAATGATAGAGGAGCGAGGAATACCTAAGGATGAGGATGACAAGAAGAGATAGATGGATAAAAGGGAAGTAAAAGAGGCGAGAGCGAAGATATAGAGATAGAGAGAGAGAGAGAGAGAGAGAGAGAGAGAGAGAGAGAGAGAGAGAGAGAGAGAGAGAGAGAGAGAGAGAGAGAGAGAGATTGGCAGAGAAAAAATGGGGGAGAGCGAATTAACAAACCGTACCAGCCCGAGCCAGAATAGCCCAGTCGGAAATAGTCATGGCACGTGACCGCCTTAGCCGCGCCGAATCGGCCCACACGGCCCAAATGTAGCTGAACGGCGCGAGCCGCGGCAATCAGCGATCTGTGTTGGAGTTCAGCGCCGTTGGCCGGTCCGACCTTTCCCACAGCGCGGCTCGGGCCTGTATAAAGCGGGGTGACCCGGGTAATACAGTAGGGTGGTTAGCAGTCCAGGGGCCGACCGGGGCATTGTCTGCTGATCCCCGCTCAGTAGGTATGACTTACTTCGAAGTTTTCAGCACTTGAGTTGCTAACCCCACTCCTCACACTAACTCTGCAAGCACGGTCTCTCTCGCTCTCGCTCTCGCTCTCGCTCTCGCTCTCGCTCTCGCTCTCGCTCTCGCTCTCGCTCTCGCTCTCGCTCTCGCTCTCGCTCTCGCTCTCGCTCTCGCTCTCGCTCTCGCTCTCGCTCTCGCTCTCGCTCTCGCTCTCGCTCTCGCTCTCGCTCTCGCTCTCGCTCTCGCTCTCGCTCTCGCTCTCGCTCTCGCTCTCGCTCTCGCTCTCGCTCTCGCTCTCGCTCTCGCTCTCGCTCTCGCTCTCGCTCTCGCTCTCGCTCTCGCTCTCGCTCTCGCTCTCGCTCTCGCTCTCGCTCTCGCTCTCGCTCTCGCTCTCGCTCTCGCTCTCGCTCTCGCTCTCGCTCTCGCTCTCGCTCTCGCTCTCGCTCTCGCTCTCGCTCTCCCTCTCGCTCTCGCTCTCGCTCTCGCTCTCTCTCTCTCTCTCTCTCTCTCTCTCTCTCTCTCTCTCTCTCTCTCTCTCTCTCTCTCTCTCTCTCTCTCTCTCTCTCTCTTGCTCTCTCTCGCTCTGATCCACTCTTCCTAAGCAGCCCTAACGAGCCACCTCCCCCAATTCCTGAGCGATGGACCTGCCCAGTATTGGTTCTTCTGGCTACTGTCACAGCATGGGATGTCATAATGGTCTCCATTATTTACAGACTATCGAGTCATGTCGTGGATATTTGCCCTGTGTCTCTCAGCCCACCGCCAACCTCGACCCTGACCAAGTCCTCGGCCAATATCGCCGACCGGAAACGGTCCACTGACGTCACGGCCCTCTGACGTCACTGGATCGCCTCCGGCAGCGGCAGCCATTCATCAGATCGCCCGGGGGAGGGGATAGGGGGGGGGGGGCTGAATTACGGCCGTCGACATCGCCTGGGAGGAAGATGAATTGTACCGGGACTCGTACCAATCTGGGTGAGCGGATAATGGTCCGGTGTTACATCGGAAATAGCTGTTATCGCCTCTATTAGCAGTGTGGTGCGAGACGATTGAATTGTCTGATTGGTTTCAGTGTATGGAGTCGTTAAGTGATTGAGTTTTTAATTCGCTAATGAGGTTTTAGCACTCGCCAGTCGCCCGCACATACCACTCGACAACCCAAGGCACGCAGTTGGGTGGAATGCGTCAGGTCCATCCCGTTTCATTCCGCATTGAGATGGCGCCTTCCAGCGAAGGCCAATGAAATGTTTAGGATGCTGTAAATCTGCTGGTGTCAAAACTCACAGTTCACATCCTTAGGCAAGACCTTTACCCTAAAAGATCACACAAGTCAACGGTCACAAGCGGAACAAAAGTTGTTTTCGGCAGCGATCGGAAAAGATGGTGCGCAAGGCGCTTTTCGTTAGAGATTCTACTGACTGGCGATATGAAATGAATATGTGGATTGTGGATATCTCTCCGGATGGGTATCGATCCCAAAATAACCACAAATAGGCCGCGTAAAGAGCGGAATATCACTTCGATCATAAGTGAAATAACAAGACGTTACAAATACAAAGCATCGAATTCGTCATCTACAAAAAGGAAATGCATTTAAGTTATAACGCATCGCCAACAAACGTATCCAGTCCTGACAAGGC